TGAAGATTTGTTGACTCTCGCCGCTTTGGAATAAATAAGACGAATCTGCTGGGTTTTGCCGTATTGTGATATATATTTGTGCTTTTTCGACAGGTTGAAGGCAGTGTCCGGTCAAGATTGGTTTCGAAGTTTTGTAAGGTTTCCTGAAATTCCTCCTTTGTTTTCACTTTGATTTCTCTGTTCTGTTTAAAGATAAGTGGATTTTAGTGTTATGCGAAAACAGAGTTCTGTCCACGCCATCGAAGAGCAGACGATAAGGCCAAACAAAAAAATTGTTTTATCGACTATCTTTGTTTCATGGAAGTAGCTACTCATTCACATTTTTTTCACGATTTTTCCATTCAGCACTGGAATGCGCATACGTACGATTATGATGAGTTTCTATAACAATTCTGTATTTCCGAACTTGAGGGGCCCGCATTCAGTCCACGTTCATCAACAGAGAAAAGTTTTGAAAGGCCGCTTTTATTTCACGCTTTCAAGGCGCTTTTTAATTAGCCTGACGAGTAAGCCAGATCAAGGAAAAGATGGAGCTGATAGTGAAAAAGCTTTGTAATGACAATGAAAGAACAACACTTGGTGCGTATAAGCGTAGGTGTAGACAATACAACGTGAGTCATGCGGAAGCAATTAAATGGAAGTAGCAAACTTTTATTCGGTTGGCATACTGCTTGATAAAGTCCTGATTAAAGTGGCACCGAAAAAACAAATATGTTTTCTACTTTCTGCGAATCCAAGTTCGGCTATTGATAAATATTGGCATCGTTGCTATTCTCTTGGTTGTTTTGCTTCAGTGGTCTGCAACCAAGAAATTTCAATATCTATGAAGGTGAGTACTGCTTGATCGTGCTTGTTGTCTAGAGCATTACGCCTTTTCTGTGTTTGACAAAGTGCTTGGTCGGCAGGTTACTGATGTGTTTTTAACTTTACAGAATCTCAGGTGAATTTGCCAAAACAACAGTTACTTTGTTTAGTAAAGTTTGAAACCAAACTTGGCTCATCTCTGAAGGAAAACAATTACAAAGATTTTTTTGATCACATGGATTTTGAAGTTTCCGAGCATCGTTCCCTGACGTTTGAAAAATGTACGCAGCCTTAAACTTCATTTCTTTGACTTCGCTTTTGTTGTACTTCGAATAAAATTATCTTTTTTTAATATTAAGTGCATGTTTTATTGCCATGTTTTCCCAACTTACTTTAACTCTCCTATTCCTTGATTCACTTCTACTCATCGTTGTAGCATAATTTTCAGCATCATGCTCTTTTATTTGAAAAGGTGAGCATTGACGTTTCAAAAAAGACTTCTTTTACATTTCTGGAGAATCTTTGTGTATCCTGGTTACTGCCTCTGTATTTAACGTGAATATTTGGCGGCGGAAGTAAAGTACGGTGAGTCTTGATTACTAGCTTAGATCCAGGTTCAAAAAAAAAATACAAAGTAATCGTGTCTCGTGCAGTAGGTTTGTAACACCCATCTCTACAAAGCTTTTATACGTACAATCGCCACTACAGCAATACTGGACAAAGCAATTACTCAGATGGGTAATTTTGGCTTTGAAGCTGGTTGTCACGTTACAGACAACAACAGAAGTACATGAGTCCGTCTAATATGCTAAGATTATGCAAGGCGGTCAATCAACAAAGATCGGCACAAGTGGCTTATAAGCAAGCTGGATATCGTTTTTGAAACAAAAAGCAAAGGGGATATCGTTTTTCTGGGCCCGACAAGCACAAGTTAGTTCAAATTTTTTTAGTGGATTCGGATAATTTTAAGGGCCAAAAGGGATTTTGTAAAATTAAGCGAAAGTCAGACTTCGTTTTTTGCATCTTTGAAAAGCCACCTCGTGCCGAGCCCCGTTGATCACTCTTGCCCACATAAAAAAATATACAAATTTCAGTCAAATTGAACACAGTTCTTCATAGCAATTGCCTATACCTAGAAATAACCTAACATCATTAATATCATTATCTACTATACTTGAAAGTGACCTACAGTAGACACTAATATTACTATCTAATCTACAGTAATTCACATTGCGAAAAAAATGAAACGGCATCAAAATCATCTTACTCCACTTTAAACTCCATGCTTAATTTTTTAGAAATATTTCCAACAAGACCAAAGGGATTGCACAGCTTTTTGACTTTGCTGTACCGTTTACAGTGTCTGTTTCAATCCTCAGGAGCCGTTCAAGTCACATGACTCTAACTTCTCCACTATATTTGAATGTTTGTAAAAACTTGATAATTTGATATTTCATTGTAGGTGAAACGTAATGAGCTTCTCTTCTATACCGCAGGCAGAGAAATTTCAAAAAATGTGAAAAAGCTTATTATACGTTAAAGCAAAGAAACCTCTACAAGATGGCATTCCCACAATCGCACACAATTTGACCTTGAATCTGGAAAAAACAAAAATTTTGAACCAAAAAGCAGAACTCTGTTCAACTCCTGCATCTTCGTCGCATCTACAGTATCCGCATTGGATAGTTGCCTAATGCCATACATTTCAATTATCTTTTAGCGGTCTGAAGTTCAAAAATAAAAGTTGGCCATTATACGATGCCGTTTTTTTTTCACTTTTTGATTTTAAACTTACTTGAGAGCGAGAGCTCAAAAAATTCCGAAAATTAACCTTTCAAAGTTGTGTAGTAGTGAATTGCTCAAATAAACGGAGTCCAGAGCTTCGCTAAAGTATGACAGTTTACATTTCTCAACTTCCAATCATGGAAAAATACATCAAGTGTGAATGAGTGGCTGATGCGATAGGCCACTTTCTTAAGCAAGCTGGAAAGTTGTAAGGTTTTTTGGACATAATCTTTGGTCAGAAGCCCAATTTTTACGTGTTTAGAATTTCTAGTTTCTTCTAGAAATCACGGCATCAAACCTTTTGTGATTGTTTGAGTGCCGCTTTGCAGAGCCTGCTTTCAATTAACATTCACACTTTTTTGCTGCGGCTTTCCATTTTTGCTTTTTTCTGTTCGTCGGGATAAGATAGGTCAATACTTCTGCATCATCCTCATAGTTTTGAGATTTTTCTCGTTTAGCTACACGCATCTCAAGCTCTTTTCACATACGATCACCATAATGTTGCAATTCGGGCTTAAATACTTTTTGCAGCTACTGTAAACGGTACTGAAGAGTAGACGTCATCTGTCTAGCCATCGCGCTGTGCCATGTGTCATTGCACAAAAGCTTGTAATCCACGATGAAGAAAGCGGGCTCGCCTAAGCCGTGGTTGCACGCAAGGGCAGATACCTAATTATAAATGACGCCAAAGTCTTTTTTTACGATTGGTTGATTTTTTCATGTTTCTAGTCTTTCGCTGCGGCTTCTCATTGATTTGTGCTGTTAGGATTATATGTGCCGTTTTGCATTGAAACTCTCGGAACTTCTCAGTTTTGCTCTGAGAAAAGTGAGAAAGATGCGTACTCGAATGGAAATGAGGTGCAAGTGCCCCTATCTCTGTCTGCAATATAAGCACTCTGTGCTAATAACTAAGTAGGGTAGTCCTGAGGTAAGTCTTACGTTAAAGTTCTGATTTTCATCATAGTTGACGTTAGTGATTATGCTGCATTTTTTGCAAGATGTGATTATAAATTAATAGGGAGTTCAAAGTAAAATTACCTAGGGACTACCTTACGCAGTTGTGAGCACAGTTTTACATCGCAGAGATAGGTGCATTTACAACTCAACCCGCTTCGACTGTGCATCTTCCTCAGTTTTCTAGAGCAAAGCCAAAACCACTTTGAGATTTTAATGCAGAACGGCACGCATGACCCTTAAAACAACAATTTAACAAGAAGGAACCGCAGCGAAAAGCTAGAAACAAAGAAAAATCAATCAGAACGTAAAAATTAGACTTTGTTGTCATTTGAAATCCGGCGTCTGCCCTCGTGTACAGCTACGGTAAAGGCGGGCTCAGCCTCATACGGGAATTCAAACTTTTGTGCAATGACACACGGCACAGCGAGGTGACTAGACAGGTGACGTCTGCTATATCTTTCTATGATGTATAACAATCAGTTGCAATCCAGTAACATTTGCTTAGCACAAAGACATTACAATTATACCGATTCTTTTTTTTTTCATACGTTGCTTAACGAGGACCCAGTCCCTAGCCAAACAAAAGCGCTTTTGATTGTTCCACAGAGTTATCGCTTCGCTTCGCCTTCTCCCAAACCGTCCTGCCAATCTCCTAAGCAAATCCGGTTAAATGCGGAATTCTGGCACAAGACACAACCTGCAGTTCCACGATCCTTTTCTGCTTTGCCGTCAGCATCCAGCGGGAATCAAATTTTTGCAGCTGGTTATTTCTAAAATAAAACAACCGCAATAGCTTCACATATCTCCTTATTTTTGAGCCTTAACTAGAGAAAATTTAACAATTGTTCGAATACACTTATTCCGTAGATTCCATGAATTATAGCTCTTCGCTGATATAAAAGTTCGTCCTTCTATGTCTTCTAGCCAGAGAGTGGATGAATTTTGAAAAAAAAAAGCTAGAAAAAGGGAACAAAGCAGCTGATCTTTGTGGTATCGTGAGTTTGTTGAGATTGTCTAATTTCTGAAACACATTCTCAACCCGCAATGTGCTCGTGCTAAGCTTGTGTAATCGCCACTGTAGGGCACAGACAATAGAGAAGGTCTGCTTCATGGAACCGAAAGATTGAGCAGGGAACAACAAATTGAAAAGCCATTACGACAACACTAGCACGTGTTTCAGTTAAGAGGGTTCAACGCACATCTCGTCAGTTACGGTAACGCATTGTCCAGAAAATAACCATTTAATCTTTTTACGCTGTAATGAATCAAGCAATGGAAATGAGAGTTTTCAGCCATCCTACATCTCAAATGTTGTTGTATTGAACGTAAAATGACCAAGCATTTTTTGATGAAAAATTCTCCCGCTTAAAGAACTTCCAAGAAGATGAGTACATTTGTGAATTCTAAGCTTAACTACTATCTTACTCAAAGAATAAACACAAACATGTCTCAATTTACCTTCTTCCGTGCTGTTCATCCCTTACAACTTCCTCTGAGTCTTCTTCTAAGTCCATTAACTATAAAATATGAAATGAATTTGATTTTAATGTGAGAAAATGATTCAAGATAAGGACAACCGAACAGTCTCCTTGGAAGGGGTGATGACTCACTTCTTTGATTTTGTTGGAAGGTGTTTGCAGAAATTTTAGACTCGTTAGATTTCCGTTCTCGTTTGGCACTACCAAGTGGCAAAATTGGAATGATTCGTTTTGGAAAGTTTTCAAGTAATTTTCCAAAGCCATCTAAAAATGTTCGCACGAAATTTCAATAGGTTCTATGAAGAAAAACTTATGAATCACTTACAACGTAAGGGTCTTCTTCAGCGTAATAACGGCGGTAGGGCAATTTCAAAACCTTCAGATTATTGCGAAAGTCGAAATAGTGCGCGAGCATTCGTTGAAGCTGAATCATTTAGAAATATGCTCGACGCATTTTTATGAGATTCCAGCATCTTATTATAAAGTTGAATGTCTGTTTATATGTCTGTATGTGTGTACGTATGTGCGGAATAGAAATTTTTATTTCGGAACCGATTTGGATCAAACTTGGCACACTTATACGTCGGGGCAGGGGGCGTTCATAGGCTACTTTTCGTCGTCGATCGATATAGATTTTACCGATTTTTATCGATTTTTTGTATAGTTTGAGATACGGGGCTGGGAGTTGGCACAAGGGAGTAATCGAGCATGCTGATCAAACAACACAGGGAAAGGGAAATGAAGTTTAGAAGTGGGCACAGGGAAAGGCTGTACAGGGATAGGGATGGGACCTTCAATACAGTGTTTTGACAGGGCCGAGCGGAGCCGGGTAAGCAAGCTAGTTTTGCCATAGAATGGATGGACCCCTGACTAAGCAATCGCCCAAGCCTCCAAAAGATGAGTTTTGAAGCGGGAGAACCGTTTCAGAGCGTAAAAGCGTCCCTTGACTGTTTTCATCAACATGGATTGTTTAAAGATAGAAAACCCAAACCCACAAAAAGCCCTAACGTATTCAGAGTCATGAGTCCGCCTTTCATTATGTTTATTAAATTTTCGCCGTTTTCGTCTCTGTACAAAAAGTTACTCGCACCTTAGCTTTTTGAATGAAAAAGGGGAGATTTTGAGATTTTTCAAAACGAAAATCAACAGAAAATAGTACGAAAGTTGTCTAAACGAACTGTAAACTTGAAATCAGAAATCTGTATGGGGGCTTCTTCTAAGTAGTATGCAACCCGTTTGCCTGAGGGCTACAGAAACCAGGCTGTTAAAAGATTTTTAATAACCTAGCTTTATATGCTAAAAATCTCATTTCGAAAAAGTTTTGGCTTTTTATCCTACAACAACGACTGAAATGTTACCTCAGACTCTGATGGATTGGTTCGTCTTGGATCCGGCTGTGGATCTTTTTCGTAAGTTTTCGCCATCCATTGCACAAACAAAAAGCTAAATTCTCATATGTGCAAGATAAAAACAACGTGAGCACATATTCTGAAAAAAAAAACCCATTGTAAAGCCAGATGATCAAAGTTTGAAGGAAGAATTCATTACGAGCCTAGGTATAACAAAAAAAGCACTTCAACTAGAGAAGAGATCAAAATCCGTTACTTTGACGTTCTGTAGAAAAGACTGTTGCAAACGGTTTTACTAATCGAAAGGGCATTAGTGCAGAACAGATCTTTTATGCCGTAAGGGACTGTGAGTTTGTGCTAATAAATGGTGAACAAGTGTACAGAATTGTAGCCAACCTTAGTTGCTTGCCAATTCCTTCTTCGCAAATTGCGAGTTTTCCGACTACTGATTTTGAGTGAACTTCCTCAACAATTGTCACCATTGCTGCTACGATCAAAAAACGGTTCTCAATGAACTTACACACAACGCTTCTAGTCTTCGACAGCTTTTCTTCACTTTGATTTCTGCGTATTCCTTCATCCACCTGTTTCTCAGCTGGCTTCTGATAATGGATGGCATGTAATCCTTAAGTACAAAAATTTGGAAACCAAAAAAAAAATTCCCTCCTAAACAGGCAAGATCTCATTCAACAGAAATAATTTTTAAGGCGTTATTTCAAACCTTCTTCAAGCATCAAAAATGCTTAGATTACCAGAAATTTACTTAGCGCAGAATTTTGTTTCATGTATGCTGTGATGCACTTGCTGAAATGATTTTCCATACATACTTATCTGTGTGCAGAGCAGAAAGAGCGGCTTGAGCAGGCGCTATGACATTACCGTACGGGTCATGCCATAAGCATGACCTGCTGTGATAATCTGTTATGTTACTTTACCACGCTTTATCGTCAACATTCTACCACTGCGCTTACACGTGCACGTCGTCTGACTCGATAAAACTGTAGTGCTTTCGTGTTCTGTGTAATACAATTCATGAGGCGCTATTTCGCTTTAGGCTACTATAAGGCCTACAAACCACCGATACACCTGCTGAATGTGTTGTACAAGCTTTTCGCGAAGATCGAAGAATACTCTCACATTGAGAGCAATGGCTGAAGTTCAAACCCAGGAAGAAGTTGGATTACGCGTCCGGCTGCATAAACCCGTTCAAAGTTTGCGGACCATAGACGTCAGCCGAGGTAGCGCCCGCCTCTCGCATTAACTTGCTTGATTGTTTGAAGGAATTTGACGGCGTTGAAACCAGTGCCCACTCTGTCAGTCCTGTGTCGATGATAAAGGAATGAATATAGAGTGGGTTCTATAGCACGAATCACTTTTGCAGGCAGGCTACCGCGGCCTTGCAGTGTTAAATGAGGTCAGTCTGGATTGGAACGAGAACGACATTGTTCGTTTTCCGAACGGTACCACTAGAGCAGATGCTGAAAGAACTAAAGAAGTCGGATTGCGAATAGTCTAGAAGATAACAGTTTGAGAAGAAAATTCCCGTGAATTTACGGATATCAAATTGGAAAGCACGCTACTTGCAGGCGTCTTCTTTTATCCTTGACGTTTAGTAAACATGGAGAACGACTCGAAGGAGGAACCCATGGAAAGAAGAGCAGCTTGGGCCGCTTTTGGGATATTAAACGAAGCCACCGACTAGCCGTCTAACCTGAGGCTTCAAGCCTCCTAGATTCATCCGCTTTCCAGCGTTCTGTACCATCTGTGAGTTAGGCCGACAATGTCTAAGACACGATTCTTAATGTTGCGCACCGTAAGTGAGGGCAAACGTGGGTACATGTAGGAAAACCGTAACCATTGTGTTCATCCGTCACGTTAGTTGCTAAGAGATTGCAAATACAGATATCAAGACCTTAGTGATCTAAAGAGAATGGCCATTATTTTACCAGGGTTAGGCACCACTATGAAGCAGGAATTTAAACGATGTTCTTTGACGAAGAAACTTTACGAAGTCTCCTTTGGCCCTTTTTGGCCTCTTCACTTCTCTCCATTCGGCTATTTGGCTTTTAGTATCGGTGGAACTGCGGTCCAACATAGAACAAAGTTGAAAAGCCAAAGACAAGGAAAAAGGAAAGAATTTGCAATCCCCTTTCCTCTCTTCTCCCTACTCCTCTTCTTCAACCTTCCCAGCCTCTTTTGCGAATGAGACAAACAAACTAGTGGAAAACAACGAAAAAAGAAAGACAAACAAGGATAAAGGTGAAGGACACCGAACAATCAACGAAAATGAAAGTCTTGCGCGTCCGTTTGCTTAGGGATGAGCTTTGCAATCGGCACAGCGCTAATGAAAATCTTTCAAAGGCTATAAAAAACAAAAGGAACTATCCTACAATCGTAGTCGTTCTTGCTCTTGTGAAAACTGTTGTAGTAAAGGTTACTGTATGTAGAAAAATATGAAAGCCTATGTGAACAAAGGGTCGGTTTCAGCTCACAAGGGAATGGTCAGAAGTCGAAGTGGCCAAATCAAACAAGCTATATATCATTCGATGCAGTATAAAACGCTGACTTTAAGTCTGTCTTTCCTATCTGCTTATCGCTTCTGTTAACGAAGCTACAAGCGGTTTTATTTACAGCGAAATTGAGCACATTGTTGCACTTTTAGCCTAGCTTCTGGCTTTGAAAATCTGAAATAAGCTAGCTGCATGTTTTGGCCCAGCATTAAGGCGAACGCAACTCTGTACTGCTAAATTTGCAATCTCGCGCGTAATTTCTTAGCAAAATAATGGTCTTTGATGGCTTGTAGCTTCGTCCAAAAAAGCGATAAGCAGGTAGGGAAGACAGATTTAGAGTCAGCGCTTCATGCTGTATTCAATGGCATGCAGCTAGTTTAGATTGGCCACTTCGATTTCTGACCATTCCCTTGTCCTAACATCCAGTTGGGACAATTCCAGCTGATTCGGGAAAAGATAAGCATGGTTTTCATTCACATAGATTTTCATAAATAATTTACCCATAGTTCAAAATTGGTGTCGTAATATTGCATATTGCTGTTGTTTGAAAACGATGCTTTTGTTAATTTAGATTAGAGCACGAAGCATGCATGTCGGCGGTATGCCACCGTCATATCTGCGACCCATCTTCTCCCGGACTGCGCAAACACGATATCCCTTTTGCCTTTCTACCAGAAACACTATTCAGCTAGACCCGGTTCCAGCTGTGCCAGCAGCTGTGCCAGGCTCTGGCTATTACAACAGCAGTCTAATCGCAAGCCGCAAGATTAGAAACAACCCCTAAGCTCACTCTAGAACCTAATATTCTCCAGTTTGCTCATAATTAGCAACCAGTGAGAATTAGAGAGTATTCAAGCAGACCTGCGAAGAGGCCAACCAGGGAGATCCGCGTCTTTGTACCTGTCCTTCCAAACGATTCAAGCCAATCTCACGTCTTCGCTGCAGTATCTCTGATTTCTTCCAAAGTGTAACCGCATCGCAAACGGGTGCGATTTTGCGAGGCAAGAAACGCATTGCGTATTGCAGTAATTTACTATATGTCTGCAAAAGACTGTAACATTGTAGTTATCGAAAAACAACAGAGAACGGAAACTTACGGTGGGAGTAGTTAATGATGACTGCAGAAAGTTGAAGGCGCTATTGAGCGTGGAAAAGATAAGCGCTAGTCTGCAAAATTAACATAAGGCTGCAATAGCGGCACAGTCACTCTAAGAATTTCTCCACAGTTTTTGAACAGCACTACGGTATCATTATGATTCTGCTAGAAACTTTTTTTTTTGCAAAAAACATGGTTTTACTGAGAATTGGTTGGAGTAAAACTACAGGGAGAACACTACGAAGATAGTGTTGTACAAAGCTTTCGAGTACGTTTGTTTCGTAAACTTTTCTCAAATGACACATCTTATTTATATAATGCTTTGAAATGTTGGACTCTCACAAACACAGCGAATAAAGCTTACCAGCGCACCGTAAAAATGCGACAAATACATAATCTACTCAAATCATCTACTTCTCTTCCATAAATTAGTGGGATTGTCAATAACCGCGTAGCTTGTCCTTCTTCAATTTCCTGTCCGCCATATCAGGAGTGTCGTTATGTGGTGACCAAAGGTAAGTTTATGTAAGTTCGTTCAGGGCCTTTTTTGCGATAAGAATCATTATTTTGCAAGAACAATAGTTTACTGCTTGAACTTATGAACTGTAAATTGTTGCGTAAGAAAGTGTTGGGAGGGACATAAAATCAGCAGCAAACGGTTGCTCTAGAAGAAGAAGAAAGCATTTTTTACTTCTCAAAAGAATAAACCGTTACCGTTTTTCTTTAGTGCCCTCGAGAGGTTTTTACAAAAAAAAATTGTACACTAGATAAACATCATTTTCAAGATTTCACAACTTGATGCTATTCACAATCATTACAATTTTCCACATTTTGATTTTCTTCGAAACTGAGACATATTATTTCGACAAATAATGTGTCCCTTTACTGGGGGGGGGGCATCACTTGTGGGTGTCAATTGAAGTTGCCGCGAAGCGGCGTTACAGTGACCCGGCGAGAGGCAGCAGGGCCAAAGAAAATGTCTCAGAGAAAATGCTTAGGGATCACGTTTACTGTGAACAAAAAGTACATATTTTGTCATCAGATAAATGGTAATTTTCATGCTTCCATTCACCATCTATTTCATTTTTACACGATTTGGAGCCAAAATCCCATTAAACAGTAAAATTTGATATGGTAGTGTGAAAACATCCACAAAGGATGGAGTAGTATGCTTTGCGAGTCGGCTACCCGAGCTCTCCTCGCAACTGATTACTGCCAGTCTGTCGCGCGCGGCGCTTGCGTAATTGACAGTCACAAGTAATGTGATACACCCCCTTTACTGTTTCCTAAATTTCAATTTGTCTTAATCCCTTTCTCATTCCTTCGTAAGTCTCCTCATTGCAACAACAATCTTGCATGGTTCTGAGTTCAGAGCAAGAGTGAACAAAGCCACAACTTGTGTCCGCAGAAGACAACTGTGAGTGCAAGCACAGCGGAAAAATTTGACTTATCGAGTCGGTGCTAAAGTTTTGTCAGTTTTTGAAATAAACCGCTAGTCCCGCACAGTAAAGATAAACACTACTTTAAACTAAATAAATGCGCTGCAGAAATTCTTCCTCTTTCCAGGCTGTTTTCGTGATGTGATTCGTTGAGATAGTACTGACAAGATCGCTAGAAATTACAACTTTTCGTTTTCTACCCGTCCAACTTTCGCTTTTTTGAAGTTTTGAGACTTTTGGAAAAGCTTTTTTAGCCAGCAGATAAGGCAAGTCTGCCAATTGGAACGATTTTTATGTAGTTCCCATGTTTTGCTTTGTACCTGGACCTCGTTTATATTTTCAAGTGTTCTGAGCCACGCAAGTTTTTATTTGCTTTTGATTTATTCGATCACAGCCTAAAGTTTCAACGCCTTCGTCTTCCTCAAAGGCCTGAAAGTAGTTCAAAAGTGGTTTAGTCATCCTGACTTCAAGCTACCTTGCCTAGTCCAGCTAATTCTCAACTTTCGCTCATCTTTTCCTCTTTAAAAATGTCAGGACAGGAGATGATCGTATCAAGAGACCACCGCTATATATGGTATTCCGTACCGGAAATGATGGTCGTGGCCGCAGAATAGACTATACCATAAATGACAATCGAACGTGATCTATAGACCGCAAGTTCATACCGTGAACGGAAGGAAAGAGTTCGGCTAGGAAAGCATTAGAGGCTTGATCTCTGCAAAGGAACCAGAAATGAACAACAAGAATAAGTGTCAATACCCCATGCGGTTCATAGATTTGATAGTCATTTATGGTATCTTACTCTTCCGCCACGACCATGATTTCCGGTGCGGAATACCATGAATAGCGGTGGTTTCTCGGTACGCTCATCTTCCGTCACGACATTTTTATAGTAGAAAAGCTGAGCGAAGATTAAGAACTAGCCGAACTAGGGGGGGATGAGTTGGAGTCACCTGTGACGTTTTGAGCCACTTCCAGGCCCCTGGGGAAGACGAAGGCGCCGTAAGTTAGGCCGTGATTGAATAAATGAAGACCATCCAAAAACCTGCTGGCTCAGAACATTTAAAGAATAGTTTTCATTTTTCTTTTCAGCTTCTCTCTTAGACTTTTGTCAGATAATTTTTCTAGAAAGTCTTGTATTCTGGAAAAGTCGCATAACACGTTACTGCACCAGACCCTGATCTTCAAACTACTGAATTTTCGAAACCTTCTCATTCTACTTTTCTAACCTCATGAATGAGCGAACTCTTCAAAATATAAAGATTTCGTAAGGAAATGCATTCATGTAAACGAGAACTACTGCGAAGTTTCCCGCGAAATTCGCGTGTCTTCTCAGACAATTATGGCGAGCACCCGCCGGCCACCCACGTACGACGGCACGCCCATCTCGAGGGCGCGCAGATAACCGAGAATGCCCGCGGTAACCCGATAAGCGCCCGAACAACGCCGCGGGTGGCCGACAAGCACCCGATGAGTGCCCAGTATGCATTTGGGGGGGGGGGTGGCCCAGTACACCTCGGTGAAGCAAATAAGTTCATACATTTCATTCCCAAACTTTCGCGACATCTACATCAGCATAACAAAGTTCCCGACAGTCTATCTGATCTCAGGACCAAATAGCCAGTAGGGCTCATCTGAGACACTATTGGACAAGAACTTGAAGCTACTTGATTGAACTAATGACGCAGACGTCAAGGGTAGCCCTATTACAGCGGCGTATCTCACGCGAGTAGCGTTCTTTCTTACAGCGTGTATTGATGGTGCGGTCAAGCAAGACCCGGGGCTCGTCGGAGTGACTCTGTCGGGTCGTGGCCCAAAGGGCCGCGGCTTGCCCGAAAACTGAATATGCAGTGCGTCCAGTAAGGCCCGGGGCTCGCCCGAGTACTTTTTCTTAGGCCGCGGGTGTTCTGATGAAAACTTTTAAAGCCCGCGGCCTTTTCTTGGCGATAACATTGAGCAGCGGGTCGCTAAGCAAATGATTCTGGGGCCGCGGATGGTTAATCCAAGAATTCAACGCCCGCGCATCGCCGAAAGGCACCGTTAGGGGCCGCGGGTGTTCGCAATAATTGTCTGAGTTGTAAAGAAATGTGCATAAGAATGACAGGATATTTCCATACAAAAGTGTCCGTACATCTCTCTGTTTTCTGTAGTCTCCTGACAGAATCCCAGAATGTCGCCCCTTGCTTTCAGAGTCGTCTATCTCCCCAAGAAATACTGCGTTGAAAACGTGTGAAATTTGAGGATCTCTCATAGCATTGCTAGAATGCCTATAGCAAAAATGAGTGAAAGATCAGGTTGTCGGTGTCTTCAATTTATCACTGTTCGCGAGCTGAGTTTAAAAAAAACCACGACCATCAGATTTAAGTTTTGTATAAAACATTCATAGATTTCTATAATAAATCTTTGATACAAATAATCTCTGATAATCTCTGATACTTTGAGCCATTTTTCTCCGGTTCACGAGGATATACGACACTGAAAATAACTAATACTCTAGAATTTCAGGGCACCACACAAAACATTGTAACCTTCAGATTATGGCGTATCCATCATGCTTAAGTATTATAGTATGAAAGCTTTGTTAAAACAGATGGACAAAGATGAATACGAGTATGTGAAACGGCAGGATATGTCGTGCTACTTCTTAGGTATGCGCCATAATTGATCCGCTTGATCCACTTGATCTACTTGATCCGCTTCGTCACTGGTCATTTCAGTGGACTGACCAGCAGCGAAGCGGTTGCCCACTTGATCGCTTGATCTGATCCACTTTACTATTGGTCAGTTTACACTGAGCAATGACAAAGCGGATTAAGCGGATCAAGTATGGCCCGTGCCTAAGCCTCCCTTTATTTATAAGAGTATTGAACAAACATATTTATGGAGCGATTGTCCACCCAGTCTGAAGACAACACAGTTGTCAACCACGATCCAAGAAGTAGCCAAGGACCAACTGCAACAAAAAGTACGTCGCGGTAGCACTGAAAAGTAATTGTTGTGATTATAAAGCTCAATTTTGAAGGAAATGGTAGCGTACTTTTTCGGTGTCATTTTTTTCATTGAGAGTTCTGTTCTTCGATTTTGCGAGCATTTTTTGCTGATAATGTGGCAAGTACGTTAAAGTAATCCATCCAGAATATGCAACAATGGTCGCGGTAAGAGCAAGCGAAATGTTGAAGAGAATTATTGGCAGCCAGATACTCATCGTTTCAGTAGTGAAATGACCCACACAGCTCCACAAGGTTGTAATCTGAATTCAAGTCTTAATGCTGATCAGCTAATGGAGATTCTCTTTATATGTACTTTGCCGTCCTGAGTACTTGCAGATATGGTAAGCACTCCTCCCGTAAACAGAACAGCGATAAAGGTTTGAACCTAAAAGAGGTGGATATATATCTACGAGGATGCATATGTCGACGCACTGCAATTGAGCTGATTGGTAGGATAGATGCATTCAAAGCACTTCCCCATACGTTTCTGTTTTCTGCGAGTATCACATGGTAAACATTCACAGCTTCTAACGTAAAGAAGCATATCCCTAAATAACTGTCAACTCAATTTTAACCCATAATTTGATCTATTCCAGCTATACCCAAGGAGAAACACATTGTGCCGATGAACCACCATAAATCGCAAGATGCTATCGATATGTCCATTATACCAGGGTGGTGGAAGAAGAGTATGACGAGACCACCATTGGATGTAAACAGTGCGCGCATGTTTTGATAGAAAACTTGAGTGTCCTTAAAGTTTTTTTTTCTAAGATGGCTGCGAAACAAACATAATCTACCTCTCCTTCTTTTGGGCGGTACAGCTTCAGTATCGCTTTTGCTACCATTAAGCAAATGTCGCCAGTGGTTAGTATTAATGCGGCAGCGGTTGCTCCATTTACTCCTATGTGCTGGAAAAAAGGAAAATATCAACAAAATCAGGGGAAAACTGATGACTCGTGCGGTAAGTTGGCAGAAGATATACAATGGAAGTGAACTGTAATTACTTTGTCTGATCAAACCCTTTCATTAGCATATTTTTTGACAAGATTATGCCATCTTGCTCTAACAAATATTCAGTGTATCTTTGTATTTTTAGAAAACTTGTTGACATCCTTGTAGGATCTGTAACATCGAATGCACAGTAACTCATACAAGGGCCTCAAAGCATTGGTCCTTTCGATTGTTGACAGCTTTCCCTAGTTCTTGTTGCCCCTTGTTTCTTATAGGCTTTAATTTCCTGTGAAACAGAATGCTTCGTGCTGAAATTTGAAACATGGCTCATTGATCTTTCTGCCTTTTTTTGGGGTCAAAAGTCTAACTTTCACCAAAAGATGATGCTAACGCTTTACAGAAATTACACTCTACTGCAAATTTGACCCTGCTCTCGCCCTTGACCCTTCTCTGACCCAGCGTCCCTTCTCTGACCCAGCTCGCGCTAGTTCACAAGCACTTAGGCAGACAATCACTTCTATGCAAAACATCAAACTCAAAGCTGGCACATTTAACGCTCTCAGACATTCGCGGTTGAGTCCCGCAGGAGATCCGCCCAACAAATCGCGAAATCGGGATTCTTGCGCGACACCCGCTTTTCCCGACTGGATTATCCCGACAAAAAAATTGAAGCGGGACATTGTCGCGATTTCGGGGCGCGCTCCCAGTGTCTGAGCGTAAAAGATACTTGCGTGAAATACGACGCATGGTCAGACTACCCTCAATGTCCACTACCTTGTATGTGCTTGCGATCTTCCAGCCAACACTGTCAATATGTGTCTAACGCACAACCTCTGACAGAATCTTGTCGTTATCCAACCTCAAACGCAGACTTGATTTCCGAAGCTGCTGTACGGTGGCTTCAGTTGATCTTTGTATATGAGCGGGATTCCCGCCGGTGATCGGACCGCGACATTATCGGGACTCCCGCGAGCTCCCGGTTTTCTCAGTAGAAAACACTTCGGAACAAAAGCGCATGTCGCGCAGTATTATCCCGAACGAAGTGCAGGAGTCCCGGTTTTCTCGCAAAGAAGCACTTTATTTGAGTCCCGCAGTCATTGCGTCGGGACATAACTTTTTCACCAGCGGGACGAATGTCTGAGCTTGTAAGCAAGCTCGGCAAAGCCGAATATCTGGAATTTCATAGACTGAGTTGCTTACACCCAAAATATGAGATAGAGTAAGTCCTAGCGCAGCACTGCGCAGCTGCTGTCTGTCAATACCGCCCTCAAACACGTAAGCGTAAGCCATTTTCGCACTCGGACGAGATCGCGATTTCCCTTCCTTCATCGGAGACGGCATGCAGCAATGTTGCGATCATAAAGGTCCCCAAATGAATCTGCGTTTTCAAACTTAGCGGAAACTGTTCCGCTCGTACAAAATTGGAGTGGAGGGAAATGAAAAAAGTTGGTTTTTGATTTGGCTTTTTTAAAGGCAGCGTCCCACCAGATTGGAGGGTGCCTGGCTCTGGTATTAATGTAATGTTGCGATCATAAAGGTCACAAGTCAAGTTGATAAACTCCCTAACGAAGCGACGACAGAAGTTTGCTGCGCGAAGGGGGGTCTACCACGTCTACAAATCCCCCCCCCCCCCCAAGTGCCCCGAATCTTAGACTGCGTTCATACGATCCCGAAGTTCGGGAACAGTTCCAGCACAGTCGAACTGAGCGTTGTGCTGGAACTGTTCCCGGACTTCGAAATCAGTATAAACGCAGCCTTAGCGTAGGCTCGGGCGAGTACGAGATGCATGCTAGGTAGAGACGCAGAGTCGTTGTAGGACTTCGCACTCATAACTGTGTGCGCTATGCGTGCTCTGGCCTTGCAGTTCAAGATTGATCTGTGGGCGGCGTTCTGGCCTACCGTAAGATCCGGGCCATTTGGGGGGGGGGGGGGAGAGATTTGTAGATATCGTAGACCCCTCTCGCGCTGCAAACTTCTGTCGCCGCTTAATTAGAGGGTCTATTATTACATTCCTACCATAGCCAGGTACTACCCCTCCCCCCAATCTGGTGGGACGCTGCCTTTAAAGAGTCTTATCCGTGAACGCGTCGAGTACCACAGGTAAGCAAATAGAGTTTAGGTTAAGGAATTTGCCAAAATAGTGCCTTTCAATTCTCTGCTTATAAGCTACCATACTACTGCATTGCGCCAAAATACTCCAGTTCTGATTTATTGATATGTCATGCAGTCAAGATGCAGTTGAATTTATATTTTCATATTCTTCTATTTCGACTACTTGCTTTTATGACGTTTTGATTAGAACAATAAAGCAGAAAAATCTCGATGTTGTTTCTTTACTTTCCATAAACTTCAACTTACTTCGTCGTAAAGATATGATGACATATTCAACTTCATGTACTCGCAATGTTCGCCAGCGTAAAATTCACCACATTCACATTGTGCCTGAAAATCATCATTGCACGACTCAAACTAAAGCTCCTTAATTTGCTTTTCTCGAAAAATCGAAATGGTACTCAAGCGAACAAAAAACGGAAAATTTGAAATTTTGTAAAACAGGATGAAGCTTGGTTACTGCGCAATTACGGAATCACAAGATACATCACAGACATGTCACCTTGTCCACCTTTGAAACGCATCTGCCATTTGGGCCACATTGCAGCCCTGTAAGCTCACAGAGGTCGGGAGATTTCCAGCAAGTGAAGCCCTGAACAAAATCTCAAGATTTTGCCACACATGCGCACACAAGTGGTACTTACAGTCCATCCAGACTTGCAATTGCACATGAAACTTTCTTCTACTTCCACGCAGGATTGCGTACCTGGCTCATAGCATGTCTTACAAGAAGGTTGCATCCGTTGATATATTGGTGGTGTTTCAATCTCTTCGATCTTTTTCTCAATGTCTAAATTCATTTCAATATTCCATGAGCCTTTCTGCTTTGATTCTTGACCTTGAGTACATTTGAGGTCTGTTGGATATGGGTGTAATGTTCCCTTCCCTGTGCACATTACTTCGACATTGACGTTCTTCTGGTGCGCACACGGAATACTGTAAAACTGTCAGTTAAACCAGTTGGCTTATATTTTCAATAGCGAGTTTATTCTGCAAATGCTAAGATGGTCGAAATTTTCAAAAATTTTTTTAACAAAATTTACGCGATAAAATACGTAACAATACGCTTGAATTAGGAATGCGGATAATTTTGCCTTTTGCTATGCAGGATGTCTCAAAAAATGTGCATGCTGTTCTAGTCGTTAATATATCTCCCTTAATTCGAAGTTTTTCGCCAATTTTCATCGTTTTTTAGAGATGGCTGGATCAAATTTGCGGAATGGACTGAATCATCGATTGCTCTTTGCTAGTGTATATTATGCTAAGAACTTCGAAGAGAGTTCCAAGATATTATGGCCATTAGTGCTCCAGAGTAGGAACCGAAAAACCAGAGAACTTTTGCACTGAATCAAACAGGGCCACTGACTCAATACGAAATCACCAAATAGGAATATTCGTTTATATGCTAAGCTGAGCATAATGTGACAACTGCTTTTTTTGTAGCTGTCTTTGAAAATGTGAATACTATTTATGAAGCTTTACATACTCGTTAAACACAACTTTCAATTTTCTCACAAAGTTTTTTAAAGTAGCTAACAAAAGGGCGCTAAGGTCTTTATCATAATCTTAATGCGATGGATCTGTGAGCCTCAAATAATATAATACTATTACGTGTTTAGAAAAAGAATTTTGCGAATGTTCGAGCAAGGTTCTCATAAGTTCAATTTTCAAACATTTTCTTCTGCTCTATCGACGTGATTTGTAGATCGAGACAGGGCTAGAAAAAGGTGCGTTTGAGCAATTGAATTTTTACATGCAGCTGCTATGAAACTGATATTGCTTCCTATGCTCTCGCTTTTGCTCCCTTAGCGATGGCCTGAGTAACACCAATACTTTATGATAGTTCGGTGTAATGTACTATTCGCAGCTATCCAAAAAGCTACACCGACTGAGCCAAATATGACATAGCGAAATTTTTGACACTGTACTCTTCGAATATAATTTCAAAAGCAGAACATTTCACCTGATATTCTCTCCAAGTGACAGCACCATGTGATCCTTTGAAATGTTGAAGTACTGAGATACGCCGTAAAATTCCAAATCGCTAAGGTTGCACACCACCTTGTCCTCAACTCCTGTACAGGAAATTGATGAGGTAGCGCATCCCAGCTAAGCGTATACAAAAACGTTGAGTAGAAAGATGCAAAGTTTGATTTCACCTAAGATGCCAGATCAAGTGCCTTGGGCAGGCACACAAGTTCAAGGCGAAAAATTCGTACACCAAAAAATCTTCGAATAACATCTGAGTCATAACATTTGTAAGAACTGCAAAGATTTGTGACGCTCACTTGTTTTCCTGCATAAGCCAAAGACGTTGTTGAGGCGCTCGGTAACTTTCGCTGTTCTGTTTACATTCAAGGAAACCCGAGTAGATCCATCTAGCGCGATGACGCGAACTGTATTGTTCTCTGTGATCGTCTTTGTTTCATGCTCGTTTACATAGCATAGTGAGGCACCAGATGACAGGCTAAAAAATGTGAATGAAACGTAGCTGAGGACAACATCACATTTCGCAGTTGTTAGTAAAATTTTAGATTTAGAATGTTGGCTAAATATTCTCAAGGAGTCAACTTAAATTTTCTTGCTAATTTGATTGGAAAGATATGAGTAGTCTCAGAACTTTTGGGGGAGTGGAGGTTCTAAGGCAGCTGGGGTGGGGGGAGCACTCAGTGTAGAAAACATGGCCCCGGGAAGAGTTGAGAGGGGGGAGGCAAATCCTCAAAGAGCTCAGATAGCAAAACGCTATACAAAATTCGAGTATCTTAGAGCAAAGGACGGAGCGGTGCGGCTAGAAGAAGATGGGAGAGAGCAGTCATGATAGGTTCGCTACGAATCTTTGAAAGCTCCAAGTTTTATTCACATCTAACTTCACACACACAGCCAGTCCAAAGCGCCGCGAAGCGGCGCTTTGGACTGGTTCTTCAATAAACAAAAGCCCGATTACCAGCTTAGCTTCATATGTCGCGGGCGCCAGCGTCCGCGCTTGTACAGGCTGTTACCTGTACAGGAACCGCTTTTTATATAGGAGGTTGATAAATACCGCCCTGATTGACATTGGTCGACATTTCCGACTTCGGACCTGCTGTGTACGAACTTTTCAGGCCCTTCTCACATGCCACAATGACGACGCCGACCTAGCCGATGAAATTGTTTTAAGAGATCCAGATGTTTTGGACTTTTTGCGTCAAGAAAGGTAAGAAGTTACCTTACCAAATCATGATTCATGTGTAGACATGTAATCTTTGAAGCAGGCTACTGAGCAAAATTTGCAGCGCCTCTGATCTTGACTTCAATACGCAATATGCTAAAGCTTTGAAGTACTATCTGTCCCTTTTGAATGGCAAAGTTTGGGTGGCAATAATGTTTTTTGCTTCTCAAAATCAAAAAATCGAAAGTAGCGAAGAAAAATTGCTCTAAGATTACTCACTTGCTTTACTACTCCTTCATTTTACTAACAACTGCGAAATGTGATGTTGTCCTCAGCTACGTTTCATTCACATTTTTTAGCCTGTCATCTGGTGCCTCACTATGCTATGTAAACGAGCATGAAACAAAGACGATCACAGAGAACAATACAGTTCGCGTCATCGCGCTAGATGGATCTACTCGGGTTTCCTTGAATGTAAACAGAACAGCGAAAGTTACCGAGCAGTACTCTGCGTTGATACCACTGCTT